TATGAATTTTGAATTTTTAAACCTACTTTGTTCAACAATGTATCACGATCCTTAGCATGTCGGTATATATGTCATCCATTCAAATATTTAGAGAATATATTGTAGATTGTACAATAATACATTTTACTTGCATGGTCAAGCTCCTTCTAAGTTAAAGAGCTCTATCAGTGATAACAGGCAATTACGATTTATACCAAGTGACCAGCATTCCAACCAGATGAAATGGATTAGACTAGAGGCAAGCATGGTCACAAATTTCTCTGGCCCTCAAAATGATAATTATATTTCATTCCAGAGAAGAGGAACAGAGGAATATCATAAAGGAATATCTCGCACCTGGTATTGGGTAAATATGCAAGAATACAAGCAAAACCCAGCATAGATAGAAAGGGAGTTAAGTTACTTTTGCTGGTCAGCACTTCAGTGAAAATCAAAGAACTCTGGCTACTGAGATTCCCAGAATGAATTAGATCCAGATTCTATAATCATAATTGCCATTTATATAAGGGTATGTGAAACCAGCCTCCTGTTTTGATGCTTACCATAAACTTGCACTCCCCTAGCAGTCACTGCTTCAAACTACCAAAAGTATATATAAAAGCAATTTTAATGACTTATTTTGAATCTGATGCACCTAAATATATCTGATATATATCTTAATACACATGCACCTAGACATAAGAAGACATGTAAAAGAAATAAACTAGAGACTTAAAATAGTGAATGCATTTCCCAAATAGCAACAAGTTAAAAATGGAAGAAATGACCAAGAGAATCTTATTAAGAGACTGGTTAATAAGCAAACACACACACACACACACACACACACACATTCTACATCAGTATCATGGTCTTCATCCTTATCTGTTAATTTTGACTATGCCATCAAAGGTAACTAAATGTCAAACTGATTTTCTTTTATTTGGTCTACATGCTACAAAGTAGCTTACTTATATGCACCTCTTATTTGGGATTTATTATTTGGTAACTAAGTTCTTAATTTGGGAAATGCCATCAGTATATCTCTTAATGATTTTCTGTGAATCAACCGCATTATTCAAATATGTTCTATTATAAAATATTACAGAAAATAATGTGCAACATCTACATTGAGCAAACATGAGTCAGCAAATATGATCATAGAGTCCCTTCCCCTCCCCACATTTACAGTTATTCTTTGGGACTTGCTCTCCCCTTTGCTGGATAAAAACTCCATCAATTCTGCACACTGTTAAGTGACTTTAGTTACTTTGGGTGAGTAATTAAAATGTTCAGTATAATTTAATAGTTAGAACTTTGGACTTCTCTCCATTATTTGGCCATCTCTGATTAGGAGACTTGGGGTCAAAAATGGGAGAGTAGTCAGCCTTTTCTCTGCTTTGCAATTCCTTGTTTCTTCCTTCAGAGCTTCCCATGTCTCATGCATTGAAATAGAGCCAAAAGGATAGGTAAAGGAGACAAATTTTCTATTCTTTTTTCAACTTTGTGTGTGAGTATGGTGAGTGAGTGAGTGAGTGAGTGTGTGTGTGTGTGTGTGTGTGTGTGTGTGTGTGTGTATGCGTGCGCTGGGGATACAATCCAGGGCCATAAATTACACCCTGAGTTTCTGTTCCTGGTTGACAGATATCTTATGAATGGGCCTGGTACTCTGACCCTAGAGCAATTCTCAGTGGTATTTTTCTCTTGTGCACGTGGTCTGAGGTTTTTTGGAGACTCATCTACTCCAACAAGTACCCTCCTCCAGCTCCTGGCTTATACTTTTTGCAGTCGCTAGACGCTCAAACACCTAATCACGACTATAGTTTCTCCCTTCTCCAGCATTTGTTTTCTCTTCTTTTACATTTTAACAGCAACCAGCCTGTCCATTCACTTAGACTTCTCAGGTGGGAGTTAGACACACTGAGGGAAACAGCATGTTCTTTCAAGTGGTTCTGCTAAACACTTTGCCACTGGACCTGAAAAGAGATTGGGGCTTATAGCACACCAAGATTCACTCCTTTTCCACTCTCCTATGTCTTCATTTGTTTAAAATCTCATCGACCACAAAAGGGTGATCATCTGTTGATCAATGCCATCTTTCTTTCTCAAATTCTAGTGTAGAAATGCAGCATCTCTTGCTTTCATGCCTCAGCTGGAACTAAACCTCAATGCTAATAGTATACCTTTTTATAGTATCCGGTTTTGATAAGAGTTGTTACCTATTTAAAATCAGAGCAAAGTATACTTTCTGAGTAATCATATAAGAGTATTCAAAATATTAAAAATAAATATGACATTCATAAAAATGTTTTGAATATCATCATAACATAATATGAAAAATGTAACTGTAAAATATTTTGTAAGTTATCAAAATATTTTAGTTGATAAATTAAACATAGATCTGTTCCTTTTCTTATGTATTCATTTTCCTCCCTTAAGGAAATACAAAGCAATTTGATTCATTTCCTCATGGAATTTGCTGTGTACTGTCTTACATCACACAACTGTTAGAATATTTGACAAGACCTGACATACTCTTAGAGCATGGGCAAGAATGGAGTCCTAACAGAGAGGAGAGATAGCAACTGATGGCCAAAATAGCCAATAAGAGCTCCAAATTTATCATAAAATAATGAAATGAAATAGTAGGAATCTTTTAATATACAGAGCCAAGGCAAAGATTATTTAGTAAACATAAGAACTCATAATAAAGCATGTATTTAGCTAGACGATTGGGGAAAAGTTGACATTGAATGAGGCGATATTATTCAGAGAAGGTTACTGCAAACTTAATTGTCTTGTTTATATAAAATTATTTTTGTTGGAAGAAAACAGTATGTTATCTCCATAAAGAAAAAAATTCCTATTTCATAGAGCATAACTGTGTCCAACCATGGAATATTCCCTAGGAGTTTTGTAATTAACTTTAAAATATATCGAATTTTGTTGATTTTTAAAATAGGGGAATATTGATATTTCCTTGAAATTTCCATTATGAGTGCAATAATAAATGTTATTATTTAATAATATATCAAAAGTTTGCTTCAGTTTCCTATTTACAACTAGGATATGAGTCAGCTTTTAATAATATTTGCAATGCTGAAAAAAATTAAAACAAGTAAGACAAAGAAAGCCAATAAAATGTAAGGAAAAAATTCATATGCAGCCTAATTTGTACACAAAATGCATGCCATGGAGTTGCTTGTGAACTTAATACAATTTAACTCTGAACTTACTAAGAGTCAAAGTAAAGTGGAAAGCAGGCTATGCTATGAGAAGCATTGTACTCATAAATTAAAAACTAACACATGGCTCAGGGGAAAGTGTAATTATTCTTAACATTAACCAGAAATTAATCCATGGATCCTTTTCTAAGAGATACTTTTACAATATAAATGTATGTCTTTTATTTTCTTTGCTTTTTAAAAAGTAACATATCTGATTCAGTGAGATCTATTTGTGAAAGATCCTTCATCCTTCTCCTGCTACAGCATGTATTTCAGTATTTCAGGAAACCTTTTATATGAGTTTCACAGGCTCTGTGTCAGCCTCCTGCTGGGATTGGCCACTGAGACAGCTGCTAGGACACTGAGGGACAGGACTAATGGAGAAGTTGTACTTCTCACCCTCTCTATCTGCAATGGCCCTCCTGCACTTGTGTATGCAGAAAGTTCCAGCTTATACTAGTCTCCTCACCCTATGTTTAGTACTGGCTTCATTTCTGGGCTGTCTCGGTATCCCCCTGCTTGCTTTCTCACTCTTCATCACTAATGGAATCATATAACTATGTTGAATAACTTTTTCTTGAAATACTCAAGAGTTTTATGTTATCTTGGTGACGGATACAATAATTCATTATAAAACAGTGGCATATCATTTAGCTCAATTCAATATGAATAATTTTATACTGGGAAATATCATCGAATGCATTATTGCCTACATACCACATTTCCAGGAATGCATAAGCAACAGTGAATAACAGACAGAGAACTTTACAGGAAACACATTCAGTCAAGTATAGCTCTTCAGGTAGAATATTAGAATTCATCAACACCAATGCAACTGATACTTCAGAACATGGATTAAATAATGCGTCTTCAGTGGACATGCTCTCCTGAGAAGTTCACCAGAAATGGACACTGAAATCCACAAAAGATATCCTGGGGTAATAGTATCTTTCTACTCTACCTACAAACAGCATAGACAATTAACCCAGGACTGCCCTTTATCTGTAAGTATATAAAAGATGTATATGGAAGGCAGTCTTCCCTTCCTATCTCCTCATTTCACTAAATACATAAACTAGGAAACTCTTTATGACTCAGAATGTATGATAAGAATATAAGAAACATTTTAAAGTTATCCAGTTAGTTGACATTGGTAAAGCTTTTCCCAAGGACTCTGACTTAAGGCCTAAATAAGAATAATTTATTATAGTTCATCTTGAAAATCAACACATTCTCACTGGAGAAGTCATATGTAAAGTCACCTTCAGCAGAGAGATGAGCTTTTAGAAATCTCTAATGTGTGGCGCCCAGCATGCTTAAATAGAAAGTGCTCATTGGGAAGCCCAGGAATGCTGGAGACCAAGTAGCACCAGTGCATATGATGGCAGTTACTGCAACTCAAAAAGCAGCTTTATTTTGTTCTAAAGTCATTAAATTTTTTAATCATATGGCAAATGCCCTAGTTTTTATTACATGTACATCAGACAAACTTTGCCTTCTGACATGACCTAACTGGGCTTCCCAAGAGGAAGAAAACTACATTGGCTGACATCTCTTAGTCTTCATAGTAGTTACGATTCCTATTATCAGTTCATAAAATGACATCATAAATTTGTGTTGCAGTGCCACAAAGAGGAAAATATGGAATGCCCTCCATAAAGTTTCTGTTCTTAGTGTGTTGGCAAGTATGTTTCCCCATTTGAAAGGCTGACTTGTACCATTCCAAAAATCACCAGTTCTGTATCTTCTGTGAGGCCTCTTTCCAAGGAAACTTATCCCACCAACACCCATTTCTATTACACCTACCTGAAAGACTTCTTAATATCTTCTGCTTGAATTGTCTTCAGTATCTCTTGGTATAACTGAGGATCATTCATTCCTGAAGATATGGCATCAGAAGGGCAACTTGTATGTGAATAATAACCTATCAAAATTCCAAAAATAAATAAAATGGTAGCTGTGCAAAGTAATTTTAAAAGGTGGCAAAAGTTGCAACGGTTGCTCTTTGGTGCAGATCTAGTATAGTGGGCAATGTAGTCAGACTCTTCTTGAAGTCTCTGGAACCTTCCTTTGGGTGAAGTTGCTGGTTGAATGGAATCAAGATTGAGGTCCGAAGTTTCTGAGTGCTCCAGGTTCTGATTCTCAGCACTATCTACCTGGAATTGGTCAAAACCAGGCTCCTCCAGTTCCTTCTCCATGTCCCACTCTAAGTCAAGTGCAGTAGCTTGAAGGTCATCATTGTCTAAGTACTGTGAGTGTCCTGAAGCCCTTTGATCTGCATTGACCTTCTGATAAGCCATCTTTTTACCTACAAAAATAAGAAAAAAATGCTTTCTTTAGCTAAACTATTTTTTTAAATCACAAGGTGAAAACTAGCAAAGGAAAAGCCAATAAACATATTGGTATCCATAAAATTTTGTCATTCTTATAAAAAGTAGTATTTGAGATAATAATTAAATCATGTTTTGCTCTGGACATTACTGTAGAAAAGGAAGATAAAAACAAAAGTATAAATTAGTTGGTAGAAAAACTATAAGAAAGCATATTAAAAATCACAATCCACACATACAAAATTAATCTTTAAATCAGGAGAATAACAAAACTCACAAATGCACAACTGCAGTGGAGTTTAATGTATACTCCACTAAACTTACACATTTCAAAACAACTTTTAAAAATTTAAGGGCAAATACAATATGAGTGACTCAGTATATTAAGAGGTAAAAAAAGGATAAAAGACCTTAGGATGATTATATTTACCAGAAACAGTTTTAAAAACACAAATCCTTGGGCAGGTGGAATGGCACAAGTGGTAGAGTACAAGTATAAGTTTAACTTCTAGTACCATCAAAAAAACAATTAAAAACACAAATCTAGGATAAGAATAAGCAACACAACTAAATTAAGTAGCAACTCAACAAAAACACCGGCAGTGTCATACTTACATAGTCACAGGCTACTAAAAGAGTGAAGAGTGATTAGAGAGAATCAAGGTATTCCAAGGAATCGTGACACGAATTGGTCTGACAAATTGAACTTTAAATAAAGGTCTGATATGGCATTAATCCAAAAAGGGAAACCTTTTGCTAGCCTAGGAGGGCTTAGTGTCATAACCTTACTACAGAGTGGCAGATGGAGGTTTTTCTCCCCTACCCAGTTTTGGATGACAGTTGTTGCATCCTGCAGAGTGGTAGTAGGATAACTGTGCTAATTAACTGCAAGTTGTCTTAAGTCTGTACTCAGTAACTCACTAGTGCATTATGGTTGCACAGTAAGAGTATTTACACTTAAGTTTTCTGTGTATTGGTTACCCCAGATGGACTCTAAGGTCCCTCACCATGTTTTATGGTTTTTCTGTACCTCCTACTGCATGGATAGAGAAGAAAGCTCAGCTGATAGTTGATTAGTTATCTTAGGGCTAGTGATTAACAAGTGAATACCAATAAAGAAGACAGGAAGACTTCATGAAAGGAAGTCTTGCACAACATTACGGCTATAGATAGCTTCAATCCTAGCAAGCAGAGGCCCATATAATTAAAATGTTTTGCATTCTTAAGAAAGTTTAAATAGAATTAAATATAAATTTTGCAAAGCAAAAATTATAGATTTTTCATATGCTAAACTATAATGTTGGATTCAGTCTAATCCAGAGTTGACTCAATAAGGATGAATATCTTGTTAATGTCAGGCTTGGGAAAGGCAAAAAACACAAAGATAAGCCAGGCCTGGTGATGCATGCCTATATTCTCAGTATTCAGGAAGTGCTGAGGCAGGAGGATTGAAAGTTTAAGGCCAACCTGGGCTACACAGTGAAAAACCTGTCTGGGGAAAAAGAAAAGGTTAGAAAAATACACAAAGATAAATGGGTCCCTATTCCCCAAACAGGGGACAATCCAATCAGAGTTAAGAGACAGATACATAAACGAACAAGGAAGTCAAAAAAAATGTGCGGGATAATTTGAAGATTGATTCTAGCAGAAAATATAGGAAAGGATTCTTTAAGAAAGTGACCTCTGAGTTGGTTTTGACAGGAGAAGAGTAATATGAGAAGAGGGCACTGAAGCAGGGGAAAGTTTAACCAGCACCCAGAAGGAATGAGGATGGCCCATTTGAAAATGTTCGGTGGAGGCTGACTATAGCTAAAAATGGAGTGCAAAATATTCCACACATATAATATAGCTTTGTTTTATCTTCTTTTTTTACATTTAGTCTATATATAAACACTAAAATGATACTCTGTTATCACATAAGTATTATTTGTTAGGTATTGGAGCAACATAAGAATGTTTTCACATACTGTTTCTTTTTCCTTCCTGACTCCCTTCTTGTTTGGTCTTGTTTCCCAAGTGAGTCAAAAAAAAAAGGGCAGTATTTGAATTCCAGTTTTGGTCTGAAATCAGACAAACAGAGAAAGTGAGCAACATATGGGCTTAGTGATAATTATTCAGATAGGTTAAATGGTGGTTGATTAACAGGAGAGAAACCAAATCATGTTTTGTTTAAGAAAATGTTTTTTAAAAATGATAGAGGATATGAAAAATCTGAAGGTAGTAGACCAAAGGTTTTCTACAATCCATTATTCGAAATCTGTTTTGTTATAGAAGAGAAAGCGAAGATCCTAAATTGAATAAACCTATTAGGACTGAGAAAAGTGAAGTTTGGGTATATACTCCCTGAAGTTACTTGTGGTTTTGTACAAAATAATACTACAAAGTTAAAAACTTCACAAACCAATTTATTTTAATGTGCATTGTAAGCTGCAATTATCTAGCACTAAGCACCTTTTTCTTCATTGACTTAAACATCAGCAAATTGCTAGTGCCTTGGCATGATATGCTATTTACCTGTCTATAATTTCAGCTTATATATTGTTGATTAATTTACTCATACACCATCTCAGTGCAGTTTTCTAGGTTATTTTCTCCCAGTTTCATGAATCTCTCTCCTTCTCTATCTCTATTTCTATCTCTCTTTAATGACTTTTTTAAAAATTAAATTTCAAAGCATGGCTTATGCTTAAGGAAGACTTGGAATGTGGGAGTTACTAGAGAAATGTGAGATTTCTAATTCTGACCTCTAATACAAACATTCAAAGTCATTTGTCTACAAATCATTTAAAAACCAACAGTAATGATGAGGCAGAGTTTTCATCACTGACCTGACAATAGGCATTCAATCACATGTACATCAGCAATTTAACGCTTTTCAAACATCAGACAGAGTCATCAATTAGAGTGTAATACAGATACAGATATTAACTCCTCACCATGATGTATATCTGCCTGACACTCTTACTACTACTTTTGGAGTTATTACACATTAATAAATTTCAGAAAGGTTTATCTTTCAGGAGAACTATACCTGGATAAAAGGTAGATTAAGTCACTTGGTACAATAAAAAGTGAGAGTTTTGCAGGAAAGTTATCAAGGGAATGAGCACATGACAATATACATAATTAAAAATGTTAATCACTTACTTGACAAAGTTAATTATACATATATACTATAATATATAAATTAAATATATGTATATATAAAATACATACATACATACATAAATACAGATGCATTTATAGATACATATATTAGAATTTAGTAGTCCTTTTCTTTAAATTTTCTTCCCTTATGGAAAACATTATAGAATTCTTGCTAAAATCTAATGTACATATATTTACCCTAACAATTTTGTTTCAATTTTATCCAATTATGTATAAAAAATCAAAAATAATACTGAATAATAAACTATCAAAACCTTGGTAATATTTTCAATTTAGAGACAGCATAAATTATTTTGTGGGTTCAAGAAAGCATGTAGTTCCCTGTAAAATACCTTGCCCTATTAGACAAGTACATGACATTATACATTTGCTTTTACCAGAATTTTCAAATTCTCACATGAAATGAAAATGTTATATTAAGAAGAGAAATCATAGATAATACCTTAGATATGACCATATAATTATATTATTCAAACTTCATACTTTTCCATTACTGATGCACATTAGCCACTTAATTAAAATTGCCATATTACTTTAAGGCCATACCATGTGGATGACTTAAAAAATATATGTAACAGATTTCAGAATATATCACCATAAATCTTTCTCTGAAAAATGTGGAATTTGGAGCAGATAAGGTCACAGAAACTCGTGACATTTCTTCTAATGGAAATATCTATAACACCTTCAGTTTATATATTGTGACATCTGGTCTTTTTAAATAAAACCCAATTTTTATGAAAAAGCATAATATATTTACCATGTTATTCACTGAGATAATATATTTACCATGTTATTCACTGAGATAAGATCCCTTCTCAACCAGAATCACAAACAAATCTAAATTGTTTTTAAAATTCAATATACCAAAACATTTATCTTTTATATAAACTTGTACCTGTATAAGGAAAAATAAAGCAGATATAAGTTGAATTAAAAGATATTTTTCTAGACTATGATAGACTTAGATTAATTAAAATGAATCTGCATTT